AGGTAGCCTCCTGAGTCAGCAGTCAGGTCTAGGCCAGGCTGTATCTACGACCTTGGACACTGTGCCCCTCTAAACCTCAGTGTCCCTAATAGCAAAACGAGTAGATTGAAGTAGACCATCTCTGCAGCTACTTTTCATTAAGAGAAAAATTTTTAGGTTATTATTCTTCATTTGTAATATAAAAGTCTCAGTTTACCATAATCCTGGTTTATATTACACAGGGTTAAGCTTAATGCATCTGATTTGAGAAGAGAGTCTGTAAAATAGCTATTGTTGCTAAAATAATGAAGTGTACAGTAAGAATAGAGTTGAACATTGAAGGCTAGAGTGTGGTGCTAGTCAGTCCACGTGCACACGCACCCCCAGTATACTTAAAAAATACCAACCATATCATTTAATTTCATATTTCCTTTTTCTACTTAAGAGCAAATAACACAAGCTTGAAAAGCAGTAAATATGTAAAGAGAAAATTTGTCAACTGATATTGGAAGATCTGACCTCGGTCACGCATAAATCTCTCCGACAAGGGCTGCAGGGCAAGCCATAATTTCAGAGAGTAAAAGAGAAAATGAAAGGTCTAGCCAGTGTCTTCTCGAAGTTACATAGGTGGATCATTTTAGTTTTCTGATTGTGCTTCTGCATGTAATGTGAAAGGGCTGGTGGCAAAGTCGGCTTTCCCACTGTATGTAAAAAGCCCGTCCACAGAGATGGAAATGGAATGTGGGGCTCCCAGAGTGGCTGTTTCTCACCAGTCATGGACTTTACAAAGTTGAGGCCCCACAAGCAAACTTTTGCATTGGCAGTTTCCTCTCGAGGATCATTTTCCAAAGTCATTAGTCGTGTTATAGGAGCTTTTGAAATTGCCAACTACATGGTCCTTGCAAGGAAATAAATGATAAGTGTTACTGCAAGAACACCCCATAAGTGATACTTAGGCCTGCCTGTTATGAAGTCAGTCGTGCCCGTTTAAACACATAAAGATCTGTCTTACATCAGACTGAGGCTTAACCATCCCCGCTTAGTGTCACTTACAGTCTTGTAGCTAAGGGCTGGGAAAAGAAGAAGAAGAAAAAAAAAAAAAAAGGCTGTGCCCAGAAGACGGAAGAGGGTCATCTAATTAGTTTATCAGATGCTACTAGTTCTGGAGACTGATTAGCAAAGTGTAATGATCGGAGCAGTTATTATTCTTCTGTTCATTGTCCCAGAGTACTAGTTACACATAGGAAACTCAACACCAGCAAAGTGGGCAGGCAGGACTCCAGACTTGGACGAGTTAGTTATAAACGGCATTTCATATGTTGTGAGGTAGAGGCAGTTCATCAGCCCTAACAATGTTATTGTGTTCCTCTGAACTCTGCTCTCGCAGCGAAGCATTTGGAAGGCAGACCTAGAATAAAGAGAGACATTCACAAAGCTAACATTTTATATCGAGTACCCTTAGTACCACTTTTAATGTGCTGTAAAATGAGGGGCTTCACTCTTTCCTGAACTGTGTGCAAAAGCAGAGGTAATGACTGGAGGTTGACTTTGTTGCGGTCTGTTTTATGGGTGCTCTGCCTACACAGCAATGTGATCTTGAAAAAGGTAAACAACAAAGAGTTTAGGAGTGAAAAATATGCCTAATATAAATACAGTCGAGTCCATGGCAGTTCAGAATTTGAAAAATATGACTGTGGCATTAAATTTTCTGGTGGAATTAAACAGAGGAACAGAATATAACCTTTAAGGCAGTATATCTGAGACAGAGAAAGGAAAGAATATATCTAACTCTGTCGTCTGTGTGGCATTCATATAAAGAAAAGCACAGTAAAGCTACTGTGCTTTTTTAATTGAGAAAATGAATCAATTACAATGATGTTGCATCATCAAGTTCTTGTGAAATAGAAGATATAAGTCACTGTGTTGTGTAACAGTGTTAAAAAGTAATTGAGTATCTTAAGCGTTTTGAATCAATTTCAGGTAGTAGCACTGCTACCTTAATACAAAATTTATGAAGGTGATTTCATATAATATGTAGCTATCAAAGCCCTGTAATAAAACCTGGTAACAACATCTCTCTTTAAGAACCTGGGAAAAACAGTATAGTTATAAGATCATAAAAAAGACTTTGATGTTGTTGTTTCTCTCTGTCTCATAGTAAAGAGAAAGCATCAAAATAGTTAAATTTTAAGTTATCTTAAACCATGGTTTCTTTTACCCACGGAACAGGGCAAAGTGGAGACCTCTAAGAGCTTGCTCGGTTCATGAGGAAATGTTCTCCCCTGAACTCATTTCACACAACTTATGTGCTGCTGGAAACGATGTTGTACAATTTATTCCTGAATTTATTTTGAAACATCTCACTTAGAATGTTTGCCTCATGTTTTTCCTCAGAGAATGTTGTAATCCCCCTGACTGTTGGAAATTTGTGAAAAACATTCTCTTTGCCAGAAATGGATTTCTGATTCTTGGTTTGTTACAAGTACCTCTCCTGTTGAAATAGATATATCTTGCGAAGAAT